GGCTTTTACAGGCAGATCGCCCACGTCTTCGGATAGGGTGGGGACCCCCGAGCAGGGAGCCCTAATCCCCTTTGACAGCTTTACAAAAACCAGTGTGTGCTGATGGACGTCCTCTTTATTTTATGCTCCGCGCTGGGCATCGGGTGCCGGGGTGGCACAAGGTGGCTAACCCTGGGAGGGCCCCCCAGACCCAACGTGGGCTGAGTTTCCAGCACCTCCAAAAAAGAAGCAATACGCTGGTGGGTTTTCCTGCCACCCCACCCGCCTTCCTTCCTCAAACTTGCCCACCAAGACTGGAGCTGAGACGAGTTTGAAACCTCCCATTACAACCCCCTTCTAAGATGAAGGCCGGAACTGTGTGGCTTTTTGTTTTAAAAATTTTTTTTGTCTATGTGCGTTTGTGCGTGGATATGTTTTCGGCTCCATCTTATCAACCCGATCTAAGAGGATCAGGCTAATTACGCCATCTGATCTGTATGAAATATTCAGCAATATTAAATAATTGATGCTGGCCATATGACAATTCTTTGCGAAGGGCCGGGAGGGGAAATCACAGTTTCTAGTTGGAATGAAGGATTGATGGAAAACAGTCTTCATGGTGGAGGAAAGAAATATTCCTTTATTCTAGGTTTGGGCTTATTAAGGTACAAAACTTATTTTTCTTTTTTCCATGCCAGGTCTGAGATCCAGACAGAGCGAAAGGGACTCCTCAGACCTCTGAACATGTGCAGAGCACAAAGGACCACCAGCAACCATTTAGAGCCAACAGTTTTTTAAAAGGGGGGGTGTTTCTTACGCTGCAGAAAAGGCAAAAGAATGGAGAAATACAGGAAGTTTTAATGAGAGATATAAAATATGCAAAGCCTTCCCCCCCCCACACACACAGAATGCATGGAGATGATGACAAAATATATTTCCAGATGCTCAGCAGAAAATAGTTATGAACTCGGTCTGTACAAACAGAAACCTTGAATGGAATATGGGTATAAATTGGAGTCAGGCCAGGGGGAGAAAATAACTGTAGCAAAAAGCATCAAACATTTTTCTGGATACAATTCAGGGTCCAGCCCCCATTGATACAGACTTTTGATAAGACAGGACGATGGGCATCTTAGCTGAGCCCAGCGGCAAGGTGTGGCTGTCCAGACCTCGAGGGGACACAATTCCCATGCTCCTTCACCATCATCCCTGCGGGCTGGGGGCTGATGGGAGTTGTTGTACAGCAACATCTGGAGGACTCCCTGCCCAGGTGAGGGAAGGGGTGATTGCCCAGATGTGGGGGGCTTAAAATAGCCCTTTAATCGCAAGGTTTGGGCCCTTCGCCCGAAAACCCCGCTGCTCTTCTGGCGCCCGAGAGGGAGAGGGAGGGAGTCTTACCCTCCCCAGGCGTGAGGTTTGGAGCAGTGAATTCATATTGTCTATGAATAATTCACCCGGAGGGGTCGGCTTACACAGCAGGCGCCACGGCGGCCCTCCTGAGGGAAATAGCACTCAGTGGCCTAATCCAGCAGGAAGCACGAGGGGCCATGTCAAAAGGACGGCTCTGCCCTGCTGCTCTTTTTGGGGCCTCGGCCTCCGGAGGCTACCCTGCAGGGCTGTTGGAACCCCCTAGTCGGCGGGGAAGGAGGAAACAGACTACGGCCTTTACCCTGGGATTTTGCATTTGCCCGGGCTTGGGGGGGGGTTGTAAAAGTGGAAAAGAAACTGGGCCGGCTTGTGCAAAAGTCAGCCGGCTCTTTGGGGCCGCTTGGCCTTCCTGTCGGCGTCTCTGCTGCCTCCCAGTTCCCATTAAAAAGATGAATACCTGACCAAGTCACCACTGGGGAGCCAGGAGGGAGAGCCTGGGACTTGGGAAAGGCCGCGTCCCCTTTCCCCTGAACCAGGAATCCACCCCGGGGTTCCTTTGGGTCGATTTTTGTGTTGCCATGATTCAGCCTGTCCTACCTCGTAGGACTGTTGTGAGGATAAAGTAGGGAGAGGGAGGAGGAGAGCCAAGTGCCCCATCGTCGGCTCCTTGAAGGAAAGGCAGGTTATAAATACAATGTATGTACTAAATAAATAACAAATAAATGAGTTTCGAGGCAACTGCTCCGCCTTCCTCGGGCAGGGACATTAAAGGAGGTGCCTTCAACGGGGACCCGGAAGCTCCCCCTGCGGACAACGACACGCCTCTCTCTATTTTTTGGCCTCTCTGCCGGAATCTACTTGGCCCCGCCCCTGGAGGCGAAGCGGAAACGTGACGCGTCCTGCGCTGGTCCCTCGGCGGCTTCCGTAGCCCCTCCCGGAAGCGTTGTCATGGAGGCGCTCGGCGCCGCCGGAAGTAGTGGAACCGTTAAGATTCACGGCGGGGACGGAAGCGGGAATTAGGAGTCGATCCGGTTTGTCCTCGGAGTGGCGAGTCCGAAGCGCGGGGTGAGTGAAGGGGGTGTCCGGATCCGGGCGGCGGCGGTGACTCCTTGCAACAAACCCGTTCTTATAATATGCACGAGCTTATATTAAATGCATGCAAAGACCGTCTGCTGCGGCCAAAGGATTCTCATCTCATTGATGCCTTTTAATTATTTCGGAGTTAATGAAAAACCAAGTATGGAAAGAGAAGGAGAGACTCTGACGTCAAAACGCTGAGCGGGACGTCGTGACGTGGGTTTGACGTCACTGCATTCCTTAAACTGCTAATTTGCAGCCTCAGCAGCAGCAGCACGTGATTATTATTATTA